TCTGCATAAAGGACAATCACAAGGGTTAGCACGGTGGTTGTTGAAATAACAAAGAAAATTAAACCGGTTTGCTCTTACCAGCTGTCCTTTTATTCCAGTTTATGTTATAACGCGGTATTTGGGCTTCTTGATCGTCAAAATTTCCTAACACCCAGAGAAAGTCATCATCATTCAAGTCTTTGTCTGGAGTTCTTTTGACAATTTTCTCTAGGTCTCTCCTAACTATAAGATAATAAACCCAGCCGTCGTCATTCTGGCCAAGCAAATATTGATGGAATAGCTCGGCCAAACTGAGGTTAAGACCAAGGCGACGATTTAGCTCGGCAATCCTGTTAATGATCCTATAAGTGTAGGTTGACAATTGAGTGGGGCATAGCCTGGTTTGTCTAAGGAATTCACAGATCAAGGGTTGAACGGGGAACTGAAGTCCCTCCACTATAATGGACACCACGGTGAAGGGAACAAAGCTTGATTTGCCCCATAGTGTGGTGTCCAGTTCGGCTAAGGAAAGGTGGACGTTGTTTGGAATGTGGTAATCTCTTCGAAATTCGGCTATGGCTCTTGGGGAGTCTACCAGAAATCGGTATTTGCCCATTAAACTTAAAAAATTGTTGTTAAAAATTATACATGGCGGCCTAGGTCGGCGCTGATGTGGCCTTGTGTAACAACCCTCATACTGTTTACCGATTAATGACTGATTAACTGCTAATTACTGTTAACCGAGACTGATTATGACTGATAGTTGAACTGATTAAAGTACTGAACTGACTGACCGAAATTGAAACTGAATTGAATGAATACATCTGTTTGAATTGCATTCTATCTGTTGATTGTTTATTTTATCTGTTCATGTTTGAGCGTTCGAAATTCAGCTATGGCTCTTGGGGAGTCCACCAGAAATCGGTATTTACCCATTAAACTTAAAAAATTGTTATGTTAAAAATTATACATGGTGGCCTAGGTCGGCGCTGATGTGGCCTTGGTTGGCTCGGTTGAGCAAAAACCGTCCGGGACAAAGTGCAAGGGTGTGCCTGGCCAACCTAGTCAAAGTCTGCAAAGTGGAAATAAAAAGTGTTTTGTCCAGCTAATGAACCGAGCAAAGTAAATAGTCAATGCAAAATAAGCCTAGCTCGGCTAGAAGTGGGTTACAAGCTATTCCTAGTTCAACTCAAGAATAGGACCGGCTCAAGGATTATAGCTTGGTTGTTGGTCAGAGCATTTTTAGTTCGGTCAGGTGCAAGCCTAATGGTCACAATCAGGTTCCTATTTCGGTCACAGAACAATTTTGGATCTAAAATCATGTTCTAGACTAGTTTAAAATCTAGCCAATATGTTTTTAGGCTTGAGCATGTGGTTTTGGGTTTATGATATTTGCTCAAACTCTAGTAAATTTAACAAGCATAGATGGTGTTGAAGTGCTAGTCCTTAGAAGTAAATAAACAAAGAACATCAGCATAAAAGAGAAAGAGGCATGAGGGACTTACGGATTTTGAGCGTAAAAACGAAATCCAATCAACAAGAGTACCAGCAAAGAGGCGAACGGAGCAAGTGATGTAGTTACTTGGGTTGGGACTGTAGCACAGGAGATACATGTGTGGAACTCAGAAAGCAAGGGAGGGAAGATGAACAGTAGTGGCCTTTCGAAAAGTGAGGCTTTAAAGTCTAAAGCAAAATGGACGGGACTGTTCAAATTTCAAACAGTACGAAACGGCTGTAACAGGGGTACTTAACCAATGAGGGCATGCCACGTGTCCAAAGGAATAAATAACGTTTCAGACGTGCTAGAATAGTGGAGCGACGTGCAGAGCAACTGACAAGACATTTCCGAACTGAACGAATCGTAAAACTGAGCAGTATTAAGCTCGGTTGAATTTTAGACATTTAACTCGGCTTTGAAACAGTAATCCCAATCATGCTACGCAGATAGAATTAAGGGGCAATTGAGAGAGGAATTTGTAAACAAATTGGGCCAAGCTAGGACAAGTCTTCTTTGGAGGATGGGCCGCGCTATAAGGCCAAGAAGACATTTTCATGTTTCATATTTTAGATTTGGGCCAAACTACGGGCTGAAGTAATTATTTATGTAGCACAGTCCTAGACCATCTACGTCAAATCGGTCAAAGGTAGGCTCCCAACAACATGACCTGGCTATCTTGGATTGAGATATCAGTCGAAGGTGGACCGAGCTAAAGGATAGCTCTGTAGGGCGTCATCTTAAAGTCAAGACTGACAGTATTGACTAAAGTAGCATTGAGTTGTGCGAGCATTGTTAAGTCTTGTGCCAATTGAGGTAAGAGTTGCAACTATCTCACTTGGTTAGTAGTGAATAGGGTGTTATCAGGATAGGGATTATCCTTGGGAGTGTGATTCCTAGGAGGACTATTATAAGGAGAGTTGGAGTCGTACTAAGATTGTGTCAGGTGGAATCTATAAAGACTCATGACAGGACTTATGTACGAGTATCATAATTCTTCCTCTCAAATACACAGAATTTTTGTATCTATTGTCTATTTACTGACTTAGGCATCGGAGGAGTTTTCGGCACACACCTGCCGACTAACTCACGTTTGTATTTTCAGGTGGTAAGACGACGATGTTTGGAGGAGCGCAACTTAATCAACAGGATTATACGAGATAAATTATTTCGTACTCGTACAAATAGCAAACGAACTAAGGTCGGTAAGGGAGCAATGGGAAAGATTGACAATGGCAATGGTACTGGCAAAGAAGAATGAGAGAAGAGCTAGGGTGACGAGGCAGAATGGGACCACAATGGCTATTGGTGAAGGATTTCTAAATGAGAAAGGAAAGATATAAGGTGCTTTTTTACTCACAAAACTAAGGCCATGCTTGGTTTCATTCCCTAGAATTTTTTTTCTAATTTTTTTTTTTTTGTTGGAAAAAATAGAAACTAGTTTAACAAAATAAACATAAAAATATATTTTGAATTTTAAAAAATTAATTTTTTTCACTCCAAAAGGATAAAATTAGATAAGAATAATAAGTGTTTTTGATATTTTCATTATTTTCACGAAACTAAATTTTGGTTTTTAAAAAAAAAAAATTTGAATCAAGTTTTTGAAATTCGGACCAAACATGGCCTAAGATTCCTTATCATTGATATTATTTCTTCCCCTTCTATTTTCAGGGAAATTTAGAAAAATTCTCACTTAATTGAAATAATTAAGTTTGCTCATTTACCAATTCATTGATATATTTTCCAACAAAAAAAAAACTTATGTAACTCTTTATTTTTTGGCATCTCTTCTTTGGTTTTTTTTCTTTTTTTTTTTCTTTTTAAATAGAAAGAGAAATAAATAAATTATATACAAATTTGTAAGTAACTTTTTTTTTTTTTTTTTCTCCTACCTGTATCGCATCAAAATCACACAATGCTAGGAATCAGACTGGTCACTTGTTCATCTAAGTTGCCGTTTGACAATAGATTTTTTTTTAATTAATTTTTTAATTTTTTGATTATTTTAATTTGAGATTAAAAGTTTGTTTGATTTGATTTTTTTAATTTTTTGACTTTTGTAAAAGAAAAAGTAAAATGATTATTATTTAGATGTGATATTTTGTCTTATTGACTTATTTAGTAATTGTTTAGGATATGTTAGTGTACTTTTTGACTTTTTGACTAAAAAAGTAAAGAAAAAAAAATATATATTTAGGATAATTTTTTAATTTTTTACGAAAAGATGTATAATAAAACATTATAGTAAAAATAAAATGACCATTCTACCCTTTTAACTTTTTAACTTGACTTTGAGTTGTTGAATTTAAAAGGTAAAATAATAATTTTACTTTCTAAACTTTCCTCCGAATAATATAAACTTTTGATTTTTTTAGTACTACTTTTTAACATTTATAATTTATGTCAAACCAACCTTTATTTATTTTGTCTTTTGTTCTTTTTTAAGTCAAAAAGTTGAAGCCAAACTGAGTGTTGAGCTGGGCTTGTAATGCCCACTTTGAATTTAACTGTAGTCATTTAAATGTTTATTTTGTGAGGCTAATCATTTACAAAAATAAATAAATAAATAAATAAATAAATTTGATTGCTATGATAATTGTAGTAGACACATAAACTTCTTATATTATTCTTTTAAAAAGTGAACGAAAAATAAGATTTTATCTATTTTTTAAAAATAAATATGATAAAATAATATATTATAACTATCATATGAAATTTTTTTTTATTTTTACAAAAACCTAAAAGATAAATGATTTAAAACACCAAAATAAAACCTATAGTTAACTTCATGAGGAAATTTCATTTTGCCTCTCAAATTTTCACGCGTTTTTCAATTTCACCCCAAAACTTCGATTAATATCATTTTTTACCTAAACTTTTGAAATTTTAATCAATTCAGCCCTTGGCGTTACATTCCGTCTACAATTGGACGAAATATGCTGACGTGACATCAAAATTCATTTGAAATTTCATTTTACCCCCCTAAACTATACCTTAAAAATCAATTTTGCCCCTCAAATTAAAAATCAATTTGCCCCCCAAATTATAACTTAAAAATTAATTTGTATTCCAAACTACACTTTAAAAATCAATTTGCCCTCAATATCAGAACATTTCGTCTAATTGTAAACAGAATATGACAACAAGGGCTAAATTGATTAAAATTTTGAAAGTTTAAATATAAAATTAATATTAATCAAAATCTAAAAATCAAATTAAAAAATACATGAAAATTTGAGTGGCAAACGTTTTCTCTAACTTCACAGGCCAACTACTTCACCATGAAGTCAATGGGAACAGCCTGATTCCTTAGTAAAAGTCTTATATATCTTATCTTTTCTTTGATTAATAAAAGTCTATCGGTGGGGGTAGCCTGATTCCTTAGAAGAAGTCTTATCTTATCTTTTCTTTGATTAATAAAAGTCTATCATTGTTTGGTAAGTAATGATTTTTTATGTGGAATTATTGGCATATATTATCCTAATTATAGGTCCACTTTGCCTTGGTGGAAGACTTTTTTTGGGTGGGTAACCTTGGTGGAAGACTTATTAATGAGTCATCCATACATTATATTATCCAGTTTCATGGTTTTTTCTTCTCTCTTTTTTAAATCTCCCATCCCTTGGAGAAAAATCATAATAGCACAACCAAAACAATTCATGCCTTCTCTAAAATTTCTGTAAGATTTTTTTTTTCTTGCAATTATTTCTATATTTGTTGTGTAATCTTTTGTGATTATTGACATCGAAACAATTGAATGTAGTTCTAATTTTGGAATAATCATGTAAAATTTATATTAATGACTAATTACCAAATATTATCAGTCTAAATTATAGATCTCACCAAACAGCGATTTCTGTCCATCTCCAGCCATGATGGTGTACTATATTCATGTAGTCTAGCAACACTCGATTAATTTCAACACATGTATGTATTTCTTCTATATCTCCCCTTCATCTGAAAATCCAAGAATTTTGGTTTTGTGTATGTTTAGTTTACTTCTTTAATTAATTTTTATTTTTCTTTATGTTCTTTTTTGTGATGGTGCCTTTCCTTTTGTGTTGTTTGCTATTTTAATGAAGTGTCAGTATCAGGCCAAGTTTGTTCAATTAAACCTGCAAATTTGATACTAGCACGTTTGGCTAGTTTTCTCTGACAAGTCATAGGTGGGCACTCATTTTGGTAAAATGATGACCCTTGATTTTGAATGCATATGTTATATGGAGGTTAATTGGACAACCCATAAAATTATAAGCCTAATTTTTCATGAATGCCTTTGAATCAGGATAGAACATATACAATTATAATAAAATTTTGTTTGTAAATCATTATTAGTATAATATTAGTGTGCCATGTACAACATGCATCATTTGGGTCAAATGATGATCCGATCTTATCTTGATGGGATCCGGAATCCTGCCCAAGATAGCCAGAATACACTTTCACACACAAATCAACCCACACACAAAAAAGAAACCCAACAAATGGTATACAGATAAAAAATTTGAACAGAATTTTCATACAAAAACATGTGATCAATTATCCTCCTTCCATTTCTAACTAAAACGTGTTTCATTAAGATTTATAATTTAAACATTGCCAATATACATACTTCCAATTTTGTATCATCCACACTCACTATTGAGCTAACTGATTTATTGTTTGCAGATGTAATGGAGGTTGAAGTCATTTCCACAGAGAGAATAAAACCATCTTCTCCAACCCTTGCTCACTTAAAAACCTACAACATTTCCCTTTTAGATCAGCTCTTTCCTTGTGCTTATGTTCCCCTGGTTTTCTTCTATCTCAACCCCCAAACCACAACTAGCCTCACTGATCTCATCTCTGAAAGATCACATACTCTGAAGCAGTCACTAGCACAGACCCTAACCAGCTTTTACCCATTTGCTGGAAAGATCAAAGATGATCTTTACGTCGACTGTAATGATGATGGAGTCTATTATGTTGAAGCTCGAGTGAACCGTTATTTGTTGGAAATTCTCAATCAACCAGATACACGGTCGACGCATCGGCTTCTTCCTCAAGATCCAACTCTCGCAACTGCAAGAATGAATGTGGTAATGCTGACATTGCAAAATAATAACCAGTAGCTTATTAGAGTTTGGAAGTCGCATTGTTATTATTTTAAAATTGAGAAAAGTTAGAGATCATGAAAATCTTTTCATGAAAATAATCATGAAAGAGTTATGATCTTTGGATTACCTTAATTAGTGTGTGGTGTTTTATTTTAAGTGTAATCTAAGGGTCACAAAACTTTCATGATTATTTTCATGAAAGATTTTTCATGATACTTAGCATTGCTGCTTAAAATTATTTTTACTTCTCTTGTAAATTTGTTAATTGGATCCAAGTAGTCACGAGGGACACTTAAGTGCTAGTGAAATAAGGTTTTAAGTTCAAGTCAAAATAATGGTGTTGGCCTATTATAGTAATTTAAATTTATTAACTTATTAACACCTTACCATCCTAGTGACAAAAAAGTGAGGAAACAAAATCGATTTCTATTACGAAATAAAATACTAAGTATAAATATTATCGGGTAAATTATAAATACATCCTTTGAAATTTAATTAAAATACGAATCGTCCTCTATGATTTTGAAAATTACATTCCATCCCCTAAGGTTTCTAATTTTATAACAAATTGCTCATTTTATTAACAAATCATCAAGTCAATTAACAGTTTTTAATTATGTTAAAATATATTTCAATTAATAATTTAGGTAATTTTATTATTATATAGGGGAGTAATTATAAATTTCATTTTTTTAGTTAATTCTGTTAAATAAAAAATTCTAATAAGAGAATATTTGTAATTTTTCAAATCACAAAGAGCAATCTGTATTTTAAACAAATTTCAATAAATGTATTTGTAATTTACTCAATATTATCATATAAACGTAATTTAAATTAGAATTTAAAATAATAATTTGTTAGAATCTGAAAATCATGTCATTATTATCTAAAAATTGATTTTACCCATTTTTAATGAAGTTCTTAATGGGACGCAAGCCTAAGTGATGGTGAAGGTACTTAAGTACTTGGGAAGTGAGGTGACTAGCTCGAGTCAATGGATTAGTATAGGCCTACATTAGTTATTTAACTCCATCAATCAAAGTTCAAATCAATGGAATTGGTGCAATTATCTAACTCTATCAACCAATTACAATCTTACCGTGTGATCCAAAAAAAAAAAAAAAAAGGAGTATTAATAGAGAGCAATAAGATAAAACTCAGTTTATTTACCTCGTCTAGAGGAAGTGGCAATTTTTATTTATTTTTTATCTTTGAAGAAATTAAAAGAACAAAATAATAATTTTACTTTTTTTAAAAAAAAAAATTGACAGGTAATGATTCAAGTTAATTTCTTTGAATGTGGTGGAATTGCCCTGAGCATCTGCAGTTCACACAAGATCATTGATGGCCACACGTGCACCACATTCATGAAAGCTTGGGCAAGAACTGCCCAAGGATCTTCACTAGCACATCCCAGTTTCATTGCCTCTTCACTCTTCCCTCAAAACTGCTCATTACCCAAAAATTCAACATTGATTCTATGGCCCAAAATGTTCAATCAAATCAAATACATCACAAAAAGGTTTGTATTCGATGCCTCGGCTTTAGCTAGGATCAAGGCCAAAGCAACTAGCTCGTCATTTGTGAAAAACCCATCTCGAATTGAGGCTTTGTTGGGACTTATTTGGAAGTCTGCTATGGCTGCTTCAAAGGTAAGGCATGGGTTGCAAAGGCATTCTGTTTTCTCACTTGCTGTGAATTTGAGAAGAAAAAGTTCGTTACCTCTGTCAGAATTTTCTGTGGGAAATCTCATTTGGAGTGCGGTTGCGCAATGCACGCCCGATGTGGATGCCGCAGAGGAGGAGTTGTGTTGTTTGGTGGGGCGTTTGAGGAATGCTGTGAAAAAGATCAACGGTGATTTCGTGCAAGAGCTACAAGGTAATGAAGGGTTTGATGGAAATAATAAGTTGTTTCATCGGAAATTTATTTACTTCGAACTTACCATTAGGATATGAAGCATGGATACAAATAGGGGAAAAAACATCAGATTACTAAAAATCAATAAATATTATAAATATTAATAATTAAAATTATAAAATTTGTCATTGATGTGTAATTATTTTTATGTAACACACCTGCATTGTAATTGTCCCATATAAATACAAAATATGTATATGATATTTAGATATATGACAATATGAAAAAAATCAAAACACGGAATATGGGTATGATTAGAATACTTTGAAAGCTAGGTTATTTTAATTTTTGTTTTTCTAGTGAATAAGTTAATTTGATAGTCATTTTAATCTCTCTCTCTCTATATATCTATATCTATATATATATATATATATTTATTTTTTGGGGGGGTAAAAAATTGAAAAATCTTGAAAAACTATTTATCAATTTATTCTAATATTTTAATAATATGCAAATATTATTACAATTTTAATTTTATAATAATTTGGATACGTGACTTCGAATGTTATACTTTTCAAAAGAGCAATGCTATATATAATATTATTTCTTATATTATTTTCTTACTTTTAGATACAAAGTAATGTAGCCTACATTCATAAATGCTAATGCCCACTCACTTATATCTTGGAGTGATAAAATAAGATAAGAAAAGTAACTGCTCAACGATTTTTGAGATCTTGGGCTAAAGAAATAATTTAAACATTAAAATGAGGCTTACTTATATCGGTCTTTTGAAGCAATGAGGCCATTGGCAATAAGTATATTTTTCAAATTTTCTTTATGGGCCTTGGGTGACAAGCTGAGTGACATAGTGGTTGACTCACCTCGATAAGAAATAAAATTATATATAGTATTTTTCTTTTCAAAATTAAAATAAAATATCAAATACGTAAGAAACATCGATATATATGAACAAGTATATATGAATATCTAATATGAATACCATAAGAATACGATTTTGTTTTAAAAATACTCGTATTTCATGAGTTTTGTGAGTTACTTTGATACATGATTTGTAGTTTATTTACTAAACTCTGAATTAATTTTAACAGAGTTTCACAAGGTTACAAAATGCCTCAAAGAGTTGGGTGAAGTGTACTCAAATGAAGGAGTTGATTACTTTTCATGTACAAGTGTGTGCAATGGGGGCATGTATGAAGCTGATTTCGGATGGGGAAGACCCGTTTGGGTAAGCCTAGGAGGTGCAGAGGATCCACTGGTAATGAATCTCATTTTTTTGATGGATACCAGGTCGGGTGGTGGAATTGAAGCTTGGGTTAGCCTGAGTGAGGAAGAAATGGATGTGTTTGAGCGCAATTCGGAGCTACTTGAGTTCGCCTTGTTGGATCCGAGTGCTCTTGAACTTGGAAATTCTACCAACTGCCATGCACGTATGTAGATGTTTAGAATCTTTATCTGATCATGCAAAAAAATTTCAATATCGTTTGTGGGACTTATAGAAATTAGGATAAATTATAGGAAAATTTATTATAAGTCCCAATATAGAGTAATATTAAAGTTGTATGAATTTTTTTATGAACTAATTAGTCTTTTTCGTTTTAAAAAGTTGTATTTATTTGAAACTCCTTATGTTGTGTTTGGTTGAGAGATTTGAGAAGGGATTTGGAAAGGGAAATAGAAAAGGTAGGTGAAACACGAATAAAATATACCTACATTTTACCTAGTTTCACACATTTTTTCCTTTTTCCTTTCCAAATCCCCCAACTAAACACATCGTCAGTGATTTTTTCCCAAACATAACACTCTAATGTAACACTCTAACGTAATATTATAAAAAAACTTATTCGTGTACTTTTCTCAAACGTAACAACATAACATTCTAAAAAAACTCCTTAATATACTTTTTCCAAATGTAACACTTCAATCAAGATAACATTTAAAAAAAACTCCTTAGTGTGTTTTTCTCAAACGCAACACTCCAATGTAGCATATTAAAAAGCTTCTTAGTGTATTTTTCTCAAACATAACAATGTAACATTTAAAAAAAACTCCATAGTGTATTTTTTTCAAATGTAACACTCCAATCAATGTAACACACACAAACTCCTTAGTGCATTTTTCCAAATGTAGCACTTTAATGTAATACTCCAATGTAACACTAGAAAATCACACTAACATAAATGTAAATTTCTATGCTCGACAACCAACACTTCAGCCACCAATCCCCCCAAAAAGAATCTTTCATACCTCACATTTCCATTCTTATCCCAAAAGCGAATCAGAAAATTAAAAAATGAATCACAAAAGAGCATTTAGTTAAACTCAAATGGCACTAAATCAAATAAATGCAACTTTTTAAAACAAAAAGGACTAATTGCTTCATAAGAAAACTCTTAGGACTAAATGTATCAACATTCCCCCATATGAGATATATGAATAAATTCTTCATTAATTAATTAATTAATTTTTTTTCTTAATCCAACCACAACGTACTTATATTTAATTTTTAAAATAAATTTGATATAATTTCCATTTCGACATATTTTTATTTCCAAATAAATAAAAAATTAGAATCATTTTTAATTTTATGTTATTAATTTTTTTTTCAAATTCAACTATTATTATTAATGTCAAAATAAGTATTTATTTCATTATTTTATAATTTAATATCGTATAAAATCATTATATATATTTATTTCAGTTATATAGGGCAATAAGGTTAAGATTATTAAGATTATTAAAATATATATAAATAACTAAAATAAAATTATATATATATATATATATATAAGTAACACTTTTACAGAATAATATGGGATAAATTAGACTTTGCACCCCTACACTTTGCACAAATCCCACTTTAGCCTTTATACATGAAATCATGACAATCAATCCCCTACATTTCTAGTCAAATCTCACTTTGATCCCTACATATGAAATTGTGATAGTCAACCCTTGTACTTTTGGTCAAATCTCAATTTAGTCTCTACACAAGTGTCAATGTTCATTTTCTGTTACTCAATTGTTTAGATCCTTAATAGAATCTAGTCATATGACAAGAATGTGACTACGACATGGAAATAAGAGAGAAACATTGTAACAACCCTAACTTGTGATTAACCTATAATCCAGAATTAAGGATGCTTAATAAGTAATTGAGATGAAATTTTGAGTTACTCGTATGTGCTATGTGTTAATTATGGTTATATATGTCGGTCGTAGAAATATCTATTTGCGTTTCTGTTTCATTATGCGAATTGAAAGCTTTATCGGCGTTCAAACACGAAATTGACTTCATTTATGTATTATTTAGAATTTTATGGTAGGTTTAATCAGAATTTGATTCGGAATCAAATAATTAGAATAAAATAATCTCAATTGGTTACCCTTAACTTAAGTTAATTAAGCTCCACTAATTGAGCCTATATAGGCCAATTGATTCTAGAAGCCTTAAATACACTTCATTGTCATCATCTTCTCAACAAAAATGTAGAGAGAGAGAGAGAGAGAGAACTTTGAGATCAAAGCTTATGGAGAAAACATTGTTGGAAAATTGAGGGAAATTGGAAGAATTGTGTAAGAAATTCCTAGAATTCAAAGAATTAAGAACTCTAGATAAGAATCAGGTCCTTAAATTTTGTATTCAAGACATTAGTGTAAGAATTCAAGAGATTAAAGTGGTTAAACATGATAATTAAGCTTCAATTAAGGACTTTGGAATTAGTTCATGCATGCATGCATAATTCATGAAGTTTTTGTTCAATTTCCGAACATTCACACATGCATGAAGCTTTACTTACATACCTTGAAGAATCCAACTTGGTTTCACTTGTATTCCTTCAATTATTCATGTTTTAGAAGCTTTGAATTTACATCATTACATGCATATTATATACATATACATTTCAAGTTTGGTTTTGCACAATTAGCATACTTTTGGGCTTGATTTTGGCAAAATGGCTTTTAATTCATGAAGTCCTATGAGTTTGCAAATGTTTTCTCAAGTTTTGGCCTAAAAGGATGTGTTTTGGTGTTTTGAAATCAAGTTTTGAAGTTGAGAGTGCAATCTAGAAATTTCAGAATTCGTAGGCTTCGCTTGAACGGTGGAATTTATGCTTGAGTGAAGAATGCAAGCTCCCAGAAGTTTTGCAAAGTTTGGGGGTTGGCTCGAGCGAAACAAGCTGCGCTCGAGCGACAACCCTTATTTTTGAACATTGGCTCAAGCCAAGGAAGTTGAGCTCGAGCATATAAATCTAGCAATCAATATTTTTGCAGAGTTTTGCAAGCTGCTCAAGCAATCGAAGTTTCGCTTGAGCGAAGACCCTGTTTTCAGCAAATTTGTCTAAGTGTTTCAAATTACATTTTGGCATCCTCATTGCATCTTAGGTATTTTTAAGCCTTAATTGAGACATAACAATGAGGATAAGGATTAGAAACACACCAAGATAGGAAAGAAGTAAGCTAAGTGTTTTTCGAAAGTATGTTTCAAAGTGTATCCATTATGTGTTTGTGTAGGTCACGTGCCATAGACAGTCTGATCTGTCTGTTCTGACTGTTCTGCTACTAGAGCTATTTGTGAGTAATAACTCTGTAAAGTTATGTTCAACTTTAAGTATCTTCTAACTGATATGATATGATCTGTTTTCTGAAATGCTATTTTATGGTTAAATGAATGATTGTCTAACTTTCTGAAATATATTTGTGGCATCCTTAGCATCATGTGATATCTATTATCTGCTCTGTATACGTCTCATGTGATCATGAGTCAATTGAACGCCTCATGTAATCATGAGTCAACTGTATGTCCCATGTGATCATAGATCAACTGTTATGGATCCTTATGAACGTTTTTGTGCACATGAGTCAACTGTTTTCGTCCTATAAAAATGGCTCAACTATTCTGTTAGCGCTAATGGATGTACCACGTAGGATTATCTATGAACTCTGAATATGAATATGAATCTGTTTCTAACTCTAAACTTTGATTTTTGAATCTGCTATAGACATTATTCATTAAAACCTTTTTCTCTGTTTCTGACTCTGAACTCTGATTTCTGATTAGGCACGTGACCAGGCTCAGTGATGATTACTTGGGGATCTGTTTTGTCAGCCAGCCGTCGTGCCTCTCGAGGAGGTTCCCGTTTGAGAAGTGGTCAAGTTTTTGTTAACAATGTTTAAGACTTTTTGTGTTTCTTTTGTTGAAATCCGAATATGCATTTTTGTTCATCTGTATATATGGTGATGTGAGAATGACATCATAATTATGTAAATTACATTTTAAATTTTCTGTCCCATATATGTCTGCACAGCTCTATGGACATTATGTGTTTGTATCATTGCTTTCACTAGCCCCTTATTTTGTTAATCTGTTCAGAGGCCTTCGGTAATCCCAAGATTACTGGCCGGTTACGTTACTAAACTTATAGGGACGGGTTTGGGTAGTGACAAAAATCATCTATATTTTTTACCAATACACACTTTGTTCTAAAATTTACATCAAATTATGACTGTATTAGGCTAAAACAAAACACATATTATAAACGATTAAGATGGTTTTGCATAAATTGTAATTACGAAACTCTATTTTTCACAGTAACACAATATTTTGTCTATTCATCTTACTTTCGCTTTGATTTCTTTGTCGTTTTTTTTTTTTTCAAAATTCTATTTTCTTGCATATTCGTGCCAATTTTTAGCATACGAATATATATATATATATATATATATTGTATTATATAACTTTAAATGCTTATCACGTAAAACAACGTGTATTGGTGGAAAACATGGATGATTTTCCTCTGTTACCCTCATTTCGTAGTCACATTTTTATCACATGACTGAATTTTATTAAAGATTTAAAAATGATGTTATAGAAGAGGGACATTGACACTTGTGTAGAGACCAAAGTGGGATTTGAGCAACAGTATAGGGAGTTGATTGTCATGATTTCATGTATAAGGACCAATGTGAGATTTGATCAGAAGTGTAGAGGGTTGACTGTCAGAATTTCATGTATAGGGGTTAAAGTGGGATTTGATGCAAAGTGCAGGGGGGCAAAGTGTATTTTACCCAATAATATGGCTAAAATTATCAAAATAAATAATTAAAATCATTCTTTAATTTTAAATGAATTTTTTCTCTAATTGAATTAATATTTTTAATATCAAAATTAATACTTATTTTAAAGGAAAAATTACTGATAAATCCCAAATCAAGGAATGTTATTCCATTTGGTCCTATATTTTTTCTTATGAATCGTTTGGTCAAGTGGGTTATAATCCACTTCCCAGATTATAACCCACTTCCCTCTCTCACAAAAAACTGATTATAATCAGTTTTTTGGTTACCATCTTCCCAAAATAGCCCTTAGTTAGACGGAATCATTTTATTTGATTTGATATTGTTAGAGTTTACATATTTACCCCTTTTGTGGGATTGAGTAGATTCTGGTTGCTGATGTTGTTTTCATTCGTTCAGGGTAACATATTTTTACGTTTCTGTTTTTATATAGATTTGATTCAGTGATTTACGATAGAATTGGTTCAATTGCTGATGTGGTTTTATTGGTTGTAAGATTTGATATTGCTACTCTAGGAAGTTTGTCG